CCGCGATTCCTCTCGCCCCCCTGCCGCCCTTCGCCTCCTCGGTCAGCTCGCGATGCAACACACAACACTTGCATACCATACTTATTTCGTACTTAAGCATTGCACGGAGCGCGTGTGCGCCTCTGCACGCAACACGCACACACATTCGGCCGTCAGCATCGGCGAATAAACAAAGGATTAATTAATCGAAGCCGCGCACGCCCGCACATCGGACTTCCCTTCTCTTCCTCTTTTGCGCGCGAGTCATCGAAGGTAGTTCTTTCTTCCTTCCTTCTTTCCTTCCTTCCTTCCTTCCTTCCTTCCTTCCTTCCTTTCTTTCTCGCGATCTCTTCCGCGAAATGTTTTTCGTTCGGTAAACTCGACGACACGCCGCACTTCTTGAGCGCATCTCGATATCTAGATGAGAGCGCCCTTCTTCAGCCTCAACATAAATTTTCATGCTCTCATCTTAACATTCTTTGACTAAAAATGTTCGTTTAATCCGTATGTTATACGGATATATTACGACTATATTTTTACTGCTCCTCTTATTTCTTTCTTATCATTTGATAAATGTCCTTCATATATATTACCCCTTTAGATAATTGCTACTTCACGGAAAGAATTTTGTAGTAAAAAATAAGCAAGAAAAGATACTATAGAATAATTGTGGAATAACCGAGGAATAGATTATTCTGTAATAATCGACTATTCTTTCATTCCATTCATCCCAGAGCATAATAGTTCTCCGTTTCTCATTCTTCTCCTATCCCTGTTCTGCGCTTTCTCGTTCACCAACACGAAGAAACGTGAGCCACCGTTCGCCGGTTCCTAATTGCTCCTGCACTGAACACCGATCGACGAGCTTAAGAGGATGCTGGAATCGATGACGAACTCGAATAATGTCGATAATGTTGCTTTGTTTTACCATATTCAAGGGAAAACCTAACCATATATATGTACAAATCTTTCTGCAAACTTTTTCGATATTCTTAAACTTCCAAATGCAGATGCGAAGATAGAGCAATGTTCCTCAAAATTTTTCTGTTTGGAGCACCCACACTTTCGGTATGTACAAACTGCGGAACTTTTGAATTAGACAAATATTACGTTGACAGCTTGAAATTTTACATTTAAAATTTTTTCTTCGCTTTCGTCACATATCGAGCAATGCTCCTATTTACACATATTTTTGCGCATACTTTCATTGCTTAAAAGCATTTGTAATTCTGTGTAAACCTGACATAAATTTTGCAGAAAAATGTCAGTGTTCTGTCGGTAAAGTTTTCAGCTTCAGCATCCTCTTAATGCCGCAAAGGAATCGAAATCCACGGATCGTCCTCGCGCCGAATGTCGTTCCGCCGCGGCGTTTATTTTTAGCGGGCGTATATTATCGTTAATTTCGATCGCGAAGCATAAGAAGCCGACGACCTCCTCCTTCTCCGCGTCGGCGAGAAATAATACCGTCGCGTATGTGTCTTCGTGCGGACGAGGCGTGGTCGCGCGCGGGGGAGAAGCGCGTCGGTGACGTAGCATCGCGAATTGCGCTCGAGGACTGTCGATTCGTTAATTGCACCGGCTTCCAGAGACTACCAGGAATCTGAGGGATTCCTTAATTGCGCGCGCGCTCGTCTGCTGCGCCGACGAAATTACGGCCGTCGCGACGTCTCGTCGAATCGATTCCGCAGTACTGACAAGAGATTCTCGAGACATATATATTTAATATAAAGTCGTCAGTGGAGGTTTCTTAATATGGGGAATTACAGTTCTGATCACCAAGATCCCAGACAACATAATGTTTAAAATCGGGACACAAGTCTTAAAGATAATCTTTAAGGCGCCTTAAAGACATTTATACATAAATCGTCTGAAAGACATCTTAAAGATGATCTTTAATACGTCTTGTGTTCCGATTTTAGACATTATGTTGTCTAGGATGTAATGCGATCTATGAATTGCCTTCAAAACTATTCTACACAGTGATTCTTTTCTATGTTAAACATCATTAGTGTCTAGCGAACGAGTGACAGATGCAATAAATGAAAACATTTTTCGTACTGTCCACAATATTTTTCATGCTTTCACAAAATTTACTATAACTTACGCAAAGTAAGTTATGTTGAGGTTATTATATCATAGTCATATAAGTAGTAAAATGAAGCTGGTACTTTTCATTTGACTGAAAGCTAGCTATGTTAGATTTGCAAATCAATAGGTTAGGTTATATAGGATTCGAAATTCTAATATCAATTGTCCGTAGTTCCTAATATAAGGAGCTTTACGTTTATTATGAGTTACGTTTATTATTTTCGCGTTAAAAAAAGAAAATAAATAATGTTTCCAACATTCGTTTCATTTTAATATTTCTTTTCTATTCTGAAGTTTTACTTACTTGGTTTCGACATTTTAATATAATGTTTAGCATTTATTAATATGCAAAATAAAACAATTAAACTATAATAACATTAAAATTTTCTTTAAAATCTGCTAAAATGTAGTATATATTAGACAATTTTAACATATATATATATATATATATCGATATTATTGCGTATCTCTCGCCGCGTCGATTGAATTTTTTCTCCCTTGTCTCACATCCCACTCGAGCGCGTCTCTAAAATCGGCAAACTACCGCGATCTTGTCTCATCTCTTTTAATGACATCGAATTTACACTCCTTTCGATACAGCCGTCGGAGGAAGCGGCGAGACTTTCCGCTCGCGGCTTTCCGCGAAGCAGAAATCTGCAGCAGTTGCCGCAATTAGCGGCATTCGCATGCAAATCGGGCTGACGCGGGGAAATAATGAACGGCTAACGAATGTAAATGCGTTAATTACGCGCCTGGCGCCGCTGATTATCCGGGCCGCGAGAAAGAGTTTCGCGGGACAATTTCGCGGATCTCGATCTAGTCCTAGAGAACCTAAGGGGGAGAGAAACGTGGACGGCGACCACGACAACGTCGACGACAGGTTGTTTCCTTCTCTCGACGCCTAATTACCGCGCACTCCACTTTCCTCTCGACAAGCTCGAAAAGAATGTCGTCGTTTTTGCTGGCGCGTTCCGAAACTCGAGCTCGCTTCGGCGATGTTCCCCCTCAAAACGTGCACAGAAAAATGTTTGATTGGATTGACCTCCAGAATCTCCTGAACATAGATAGAATTTAGCCAGATCAACTTTCCGAACGTTCTTAAAAAACATGCATTTCTTATTCTCATTACAACTTCTTCAACTTCATTGAATCACAAATACATTAATGGGTTCACATTCCGCGATGTTTTTTACATCGTTTAAAAAGGAAATGTATTGAATTCTGATCGTTTTTATGAGAGTTATGAGTAAACGGAAACGCGCTGGATAAAACTTTCCCATGCTTAAAGTGTACATGATTTTTTTATGGAGCTTAGAATTCTAGGGTTAAACAGAGTACAGCCAAGAGTGTTTATAAGCCACTAGTCACTAAGAATCTCTGAGACCCGCCCACTCTGGCGCTTGCATACTTGTAATCTCCACACTGTAGACTTTATTTGAAGCTTGAAATGATCTCAAAACTTCCTGGTCACGAATCTGGGCCGCTCTTGGCCGCACTCTCTCGGGAAATATGAACGAACCAGAAATTCCGGTTAAAGTTACCAGAATCCTGCTCGAGTTAACAAGATTTCTGGTCAACTCGCACGGGTAACATCGACCGGAACGGTTCGTACATATTTCACCCGGAATTGGTTGATCCAACCAAACGTTTTCCGCCGAGAAAGAAATTCAATCGCGTCGCGCTGTGCGAATAGGCGTAGACCGACACAGAGACTAGCAATTCGCGGACGATAAGACCGGAACGAAAATTGATCGGTTAGCGCGCGAGGCACGCTAACGCGAGAATCCGCTCGGAACGTTGACCGGGTTCGGCGAAAAAATCGCAGATTGAAGTTTAGAATAAAGAAGCGAGTGTATTCGCCCGTCCTCCGGGGCTGCCGTCCGTCCGTCCATCGAACATGCAACGCGCGATGATTTACGATCCTGCATGGAGCGGACGAGCAACGCAACGGTCGAACGAAGAAAACGCATCGCGTTGCACTCGAGTGAATAACGTCTTCCGACGATCGCGATGCCCCCGCCCGATCTCTCTCTCCCTCGCCCGATCGACCACCCTTTACATTACGTCACCGCATTGTTCGCGCCGGTAATTTCAGCCTATCCTCGACTCTGCACGGAGAAAACACTAAGGATACATCACTTGCTGTAAATACGGTTGCCGCAGGCATTAAGGCTTCTGGGCACTCGCCACGGAACTTCTGATCGATGACGAGGCGAGAAAATGTCCAAAATTTTTACGCGCCATTTCCAAATAAAGGGATGAAAGAAGACTTCGGATGGCATATCTATAAAATGCTATGAAAACTATCTCTTTGCCTTGACAGTCAATAAATAGCCGTGACAAGCAATCTTCCTCTTCAATCAACCTGTCTTCCCGAGTCGAAAGTAGGAGTAAATTATATGATTAGAATTAAACTTACTTTGCTAACTTAGCTTCTACTGCGTTGTAGAATTCGAGGTTTAACACAGGGCCAAAATTTCAACTCGGGTTTCCTCATGATTCTGCCACGTTCATTTTGCGACTATTTATTAACTGTGTGGACCTTATTAGCAGCCAATTTCTACTAGGAACTACTAGAAACAGTAAAATCAAAGAGAATTCACATGAAAAAGAAAAAACTACAATATTCTTTCCGTGTACGAATCAAAAGAATTGTAGCTGTAATAACTGCATAACTGGACATATAACGACAACGACTTTTAATATCTACTTAATTTGAAAAATAGTCCCTCCTAGAATAATATGTGGCTGTCGCAACCATAGCAGTTTTCTCCGTGTTTTTTCAAGACAATTTCTTTTTTTTTTATTTCACGTCCCGCGCGTCCTCCAATCGTTTTCGTTTAGGTTTCTCGATTTTTCCTCTCCACCTGTCACCCGCGCCTATCGTAGAATAAACTCCAAACTTAGCGAATTGTTGTCCACGACTGTTGCAGGTGAACCGGCCGCTGACGATGAAGAAGGAGGGCATTCAGACGAGAAACAGGAAGCTCTCGTCAAAGAGCAAGAAGAAGAAGAACGGCGGCTGCCTAGGCCTGGGTGTCATGGGAGACATGATCAAGGCCAGTGGACATCTCGATCTCGATAACAAATCCTTCCACTCCGGCTTCGGAGCGCCGATGGGTAAGTCGAGAGTTTTGCCGTCCGCGACGGATATTTGTTGCACCCTGGGCTTTTGTGGGCGTCTCTAAGCTCCTTGAAATTAACCCGTTAATGGCCAGTGTCTCTCAGCCATGAGACGCGATTTTCTCATTGGATAAAACCACTTGATACGTGGAGAAAATATTGTAAAAATCATAAGATCACGTTAAAATTCTATTTCTCTTCGCAATGTTTTCTGCAAAACTCGACTATCTTGAAATTGTTTCATAAATTACTATAGAAATTGCAAATTCGACGATCTAAATATATAATATAAAACACACACAGAGAGAGAGAGAGAGAGAGAGAGAGAGAGAGAGAGAGAGAGAGAGAGAGAGAATATGTCTCGCAAAACTCGCGGAGATTAAAAGAGCGCGCGTCTCTCATTATCGTTGCAGGTACGTCGCAGCATCATCACACGATGCATCCGGCGATGCAGCATTACATGTATCACACGGGTGTCGGCGTGGCCGGAGGTCTTCATCAAGGATTTGCGCCACCGGCGCCGCCCCCCATCCACCCGCACTCACATTCGCATTCCCATTCTCATCACATGCCGAGCCTTCAGGGTCTGCAGCTGACGACGAACGCAATGGTAAGTGCGCGATGATCGTTACCTCCACCGCCGGCGATTGACCAAAGGATCACCACCATTGCCGCGAGCCGCCGATAATCGATCAGGATGATTTCCCTATACCGCGCGGACTTTGCTGACTCGCCGTATACTCAAGCCAAACTCGACGGTAATCCGACGCGAGATCCCGACGCGTGCCCTTGGTTTTCGCGCGATTCGTGCAACTTTACGGGAAACGCGATCAATTTCTACCCTCGCATCGCTAAGCAGAAAGAACGACTTCTTTCTAGCCAGTAACCAGGTAAGTGAGGAAAAAGTTGCAGCATGCTTCGTCATTTCGGTTTTGGAGCTTCTTTCTCACTTCCACTCGAAGTCATCCCTAAAAATGGCGGACAGAATGCAGATTAGAGTTCCTCAAGTTGGAGTCAGAACATCGTTCGCCATATATAGGGAAGAAGTGTGAGTGAGAGAGTGAGGGAGAAGAAAGCTGCAGCGTGCTTCGTCATTTCGGTCTTGGAGCTCCTCTCTCAACTCACGTCATCCCTAAAAATGGCGGACAGGATGCAGACCAATCAGAGAACCGTCATGCTCTGCCCTAGTTCCGACTGGAGGAACTCTAGATCGAGCGTGATCGACGAAATCGAATGAAAAACAAATGTCGCCTTCGCTCGCGCGACCAGCAAGTGGATCGTCCTAAAGAGCGGTAAAACCTTTGTCTGCTTACAGAGCGGCTGGCGATCGGAGTACACATGAATCGCGAGTGACTAGC